GTGGCCGTAAACAGCAACTGCTGCTACTGCTGATGCTGCTGATGCGGCTCCTCCTGCTGCTGCTGCGGCACGTGCCGAGCATATTGAATGGTGCATTGAAGAGCAACATGCAGCATGCTGCATGCAGTGTGGAGCATGGGGCATGCGGCATGTGGCATGCAGCAGGTTTCGTCTCTTTTTAATGCTTTTGAAAAATGGTCAAAGTTGTTGCTGTTGCGCGTCTTTTTTGGCCAAACTGATAGGGGCCAGCATTTACCTATATACGTATATACGTATATATATATGTATATCCATATAGGTATAACTCTGACTCTGGCAAAAGATCACGCGCGCTGCTTAACCCAGTTTTTGAGTTTTTGGCTGCTGCACGTGAGTCCTTGCTAATCATTTGTCTTCCTAGCTGCATTTCTCCAGTTGGCAGTGCTGCGAAGTTTCCATTACGCACTGACAACTGATTGCCAAGTTTATTATTGCTTCCGTTTGCTTATGAACAGCCAACGGATATGCCATTTCTTCTACCGTTGCCAAATGCTGGCAACAATTTATCAACTCGATTTTTTTCCCCTCTAACTCCTCCGTACACGAAAATACGCCATAGAATTACGAGTGATTTTCTATTTTTTATGTGCTTATTTTCTTGTATTTTATTTAACGGGCCACATTCATTTATTATCCTCCAAAATGTCATTCTCTATCGCCCGATAATCACTTGAAGGAGTTGTGCACGAATATATTATAAAGTGAAGTTTGCAGATGAAGATGCTTGCCGCCTCTCAAATTATTAGAATACATTAGGATAAAAGAAAGATCAATTCCAGAAGAGTCCAAGTTAAAAATAAAAAATAAAAAATAAAAAAAAAAACACAACTAAGAAAGCTTTAGTCGAGACTGCCCGACTACGAGATTCCCTGAACCCTTCAAGCAACTGATATTTCAATAATTATTCGCACATGCACACACACACACACACGCATAAACAAGCATTGTCTGCAGTGGCCCCTTACTATGGGAACTTAACTGCTTAATAACTTTTCTTGTGGATACACTATCTTCATGAATTTAAATTATGAATATAACATATTATTATAAAACCCGAAACTCCATTTAGTACATTTAAATCTACATTTAAGAATATAAATACTTTATGGGGTCTGCCACGCCTCCTTTTGTCTGTTACATACATTTCAACGAAACAAATTAAATTTATACTAAATTTATTCTATAAATTATCGAAATTATTATTATTATTATTTTCTATCCGCGATCAGAAAATCTAAAATTAATTATGAATATAATATTAACTAATATTATGAATATTTGAAGTGACATTTTATCCTAGAGTCTTCAATTGTCTTAAGCTAAACTTTACGTTACATAAGTAACTATGATATGGATCCTGATTTTCTGTAATCAAACAGACTTAATCATTTACTATCCAATTAAAATACGGATTGCATCATGAAACCGCAAAGTACTGCGCTTCCACTGAAAACCCCTTGTTATCTAGTGCTTAATTTTCCCGCGTACCCTATCCTTGCTAACCAATTTAATTCGCTAATACTTGAACTATATGTATGTCAAGTACTTCGGGCTTCTTTGTCGCTTGAGTAATCCGCATTGAACTTGACATAACTTCATGGGATGCGCCTCAATGGAGATGCATCAAGTCAGACAACGATTGCATTTAAAAAGCTGTAAAAGCTCTGCTCTGCTCTCTGCATGTGACAGCACTTAACACTGCCACGCCCACACACACACACACTCTCGCACACACGCACGCACACATACGTAGAGTGGGAAAGTCAAACAGTCGGAGCCACAGCAATTGAAAGTCAGTTACAAAAATGCAATCACAGTTTGACACAATTTTACCGAAGCGCCACTTCAACACGTTGCAACTGCAATATCTTTACACAGAGCCTGCAGCAGTAACAGCAGCAGCAGCAGCAGAAGCAGCAGCCAAACAAGCGAGCCATCGCACGAGCGACAACTCTGCAAACAACACAATGACAACTCTTTAACAATGTTAAGTTCGCGTCGCCGTCGGCGTCAACGCAGGCGTCAGCGTCGACGTCGATTGATTGTCGCTTTGCTCTGTTACTTCATGTCGCCGCATGACATATGACTGTATAACAGTGGGTGTTATAATTATTATAATAGATTTGCAGTCATCTCATTCTAATCAGAAATATATATAAAGCAAAAAGCAAATGTAATTTTTTTTTTTTTTTTAAATTATTGTAATATGATGTGTTGTTTAATAAAACATAAAAATGAATTATCCTGTAATTATTATTTGAATATATTACAAATATATATAATATATGTCAAGTTATATGCTTGTCAAAAGGTGATAATTTATTAATTTAATTTAATTTAGGTATTAATTTTAATTTAATTTAAAAATATATGCCTTAACAATAATATTAAATTATGTATGCCAAAAAAGGCTTTCATTTCATATAAAAACAAATCTCAACATATGTATGTATGTATATGCATAAGCCTGTATAAACACATACATATGTACATACCAATTTCCCAGTGCATCTCTCTCCAACTGCAATTTTCAGAGTGTTCAAAGGCCGAAGAGAGTTTTTATCTTAAACTGTTGTTGTTGCTATCGTTACGTGGCTTTCATCGCCGCTGCGCGTGCTCGAGTGCATTTACAGTCACTCACACACATTTACACAAACACACACATTCAAACAAACAAAAGAAATACAAATACAAACATATGTATGGCATTGCCGAATGCCACGCACACACAGCGAGGACATTTTTGTTGTTTGATTGCGTTTTTATCTACGTCATTTCAGCAGTGCGCAAACATGTTTGGGCAGTGTGGCAACGCTGGTCATGCGGCGACTGCAGCAGCTCGACTCTGGCGATATTTTACAGCGCCAACATTTTATTGCAAACATTGTGCAATTTCAACTTAAACGTCAATCGATTTTCATTTGATTTTTACGACCATTTTCTTTCTACTCCTTTCCCATTTTGTTTCCCTTCTTGCCTTTGTATGTTGGGCAAGCTTTTGATTTTCTCAATTGCAATCACATTCACATTTTTATACCCTGTAGCAGCACATAAACCACTCGCTCGTTAAGCGGTCACAGCGAACAGCATAAATGGTCTCTAAAGGATATATAATATAAATTTAGACTTCTTAGGGATAAAGAGAGCTGATCGAATGCAGACTCTGTCAAGATAACTGTTAATGAAATTTAAATATTAATTCACTAAGGAGCAGCTGATAGTCGAGCGGACTTTATTCAGAGCGAAGACTCTATTCCTTAGTTGTTATTCCCGACATTTTACTTAACGCATATATTTTGTATTACAATCATATTATCTCGTTCAATGTGTGTGTGTGGGTGTTAATTTAATTAACTTGACGTTTATGGAGGCAGACACTTTGCAATGCAAATTTCTTGATATGATTTTCTCAGATACTTAATTTGTCAACGCTTCGCTGATTTATGAATTCAAATCGATTCGATTCAATTTGCTGTCAAATGAGCGACTTCTGAATGCCATAAAATCAACAATCGGCTAAGCAAGAGGAAAGTGAGAAGTGCAATGAGCGATAAATAATGAGAGAGAGAAAGAGAAAGACAGGCAGATGGACAAAGAAAGATTTTCAGGCAGACAAGGCTAAAAAAAAATACAGTAAAATAGTTTTAGAGTAAAAGAAAAACAGAAACGGAGAAAGAGACAAACAGACAATCAGAGAGAGATGAAGCGAAAAACTAAATTTGCAGTTTATAAATGATAGCCCAATTTAACAAAGCTTTCATACTCTCATTTAATATTTCAATTTCGAAATGTTACAATCAAATAAATGAAGCAATATTTATATTAATAATAAAACAATCAATATTCAATTAAAATTTATAGTTGATCAGAATAAATCTTTATCAATTCCTACTCCAGCTTTACATATACTCTCAAAATGCTCTCTTGATTCAGTTACATTGATCCAAGCAGAGGTCTATTTCCATGTGGGCTAAATTAACCCCAAGCACGTCTACATGAGAAATGTATATCGATGAATTATAAAAATAATAAAAAACCTAAAAACCTTCTTTAGCTTTAATATTGTGGGAGCTGTTCGGCCTGTGGGAGTTGAGGGAATACAGCTCTCTCCCTATTTCTACAGCCTACAAAATGTGCCACCACCACAAAGGTGTGCGCCGTGAAGCGTGCTATACATTTATTAAAGGAAATGTCAAAAGTAATTTTTTTTTTTTTTTTTTTTTTTTAATGTGGTAGAATGCTTGCCTGCTAAAAGTAATTGAACCACGTAGGCAGAGCGTCGCAATCAAAACTCTGGTTAACTCTTCTGCTCTTTGGCGACCTCATGTGCTACATTAACTTTCGCTTTTTCTGTAGTTTTCTGTATGGATCAAAGAGGCAGTGAGAACATGGAAGGGGGCGTGGTTGGGTCTTGCATGTTTGTGCCATTTCGCAGAGTCATCGCATGATTTACGTCGAATCGGCTTTGGACAAGTAATCATGTTGTTCACACACACACGGGCACACACACACGCACACTCACACGAACGCCATTACGAAAAGCCAACAGAAAGGCAGCTGGACACAATTATGGGAGCCAAGAGGGCTTTCAATTTCACTTGGCTGGCTTTGGGTAAACAGCTCCTGCCGCTGCCGCTGTTGCTTTCGCTGCCCTGCTGCTCTGCTGCTCTGAAGCATGCAACAACCGCAAGCATCACGCAAACGCATCAAATCAATGAAAGTGGCCACTGCGCCACGATTTGCACTTCATTGACTTCAATCTATGGACGAGCGGAGCCACAGCCGGTCCGTTCTTCAGCTCAATAGCTGCCCCGAAAAGTCAATGAAGTTCAAGTAGAAGCTGAAGCTAGAACTGCAGCTGAAGCTGAAACTCAAGCCAAAGGCGCTGCTTTAAACATTTCCAGTCTATTCGCTTTATTTTGCAGCCGGCAGTTTATAAAAATGAAAATTGCAAAAGAAAAAATGATGGAAAATTCTTCATGATATTTTGCAGTACCCTAAAAATTTGTGATATGAGGGTTTATATATTTGTAAGAAAATACATAAATATACATATTAATAGTTCAAAGAAATTTCGAAATGGAAGGTAAGTCAAATAGATATTCACAGATTGCTATGAGGAATACAAATGAATATATAGATTCTTTAGCGATATGCCAAGCATTATCAAATTTAGTTAATTATATAATCTTATTAAAGTAGAACTAGTTAAGTTATATACTGTTCAAATACTTCAGTTTTTTAAAGTCTATTCGTTTATTGCCGTTTACATGATATCTATTAGCCAGGGCCTTTCGTCTTACAACTAGTAGTCTTCGTTATCCGCTATAAAAATGCGCTTACATGTGCTTATTTAGGCACAGCCCTCAAAACTGAAGCATTGACCCTAGTACATAGTACATAGACTGCATATTGATTTAATCTGAATAGAAATCGCTTATCAGCAAAAAAGGAGAAACGAAAATTGAGACAAAAATTGAAAAAACATGAGTATCAAAAAACGGTTTATAAAACCATGCATGAAAGGTTGATGAAGGAGCATAATATACTTCCATGAACTTGAAGAAATTGATTTTGAGAGATATAAACAAATATTGTTTTGTACAGAAGAGAGCTGTAAATATTATATTTTGCAATAAAAGATAGGGGCACAGATTAGCTACAATTCGATTCCGGTTTCTATTCCATTTTTACAAAAAGTAAACTAATAATTTTAAAAGTTAATTATTGTATTTATGATAATTTAATTTACAAAAATTCAATAAACCTCGTTGCGAAATTATTAAAGCAATAGCGCCATCAATCTAGTATAATATAGTTAAAGTACTAAATACTCGTACCTCCACTACTACTACTACTAATACTATTACTTCAGCTGTAAACAACGGTGCTTAGAGCATAAGTAATAGTATTAGTAGTAGTAGCAGTGCAAGTCTTTAATGCCTTTAACTACATATATTATGCTAGTAGAAGAAAACTATATAAAACATAATCACATGGAATAGTATTAGTAGAGTACAGTAATCTAATGTCTTCGCCTGATACAGGATTCAAACTAATCTTCACTTGTTGCACAACTACGATCACTGCTAATACTATGATTCTTGATTTCAACTACTGCTACTAGTGGTAGTAGTATCAGCAACAGTAGTACTCAGAACATAACCCTGAACTTAATGCGATAATTCCAGTTGAACAAGTTCAGTAGGGAAATCAATGAAAATATTATTATAATTTTTGTCGCCAAGCGATTTGCAGCACTGCATTGATCCGGAGATTGCTCTGTCCAGATTATCTGGGAACCGATGCCCATCCTGTCGGCATCCGCTTTTATAATATCTATAAGATTTTGATCTAACCTTCGCTGTCGCGTCAACAGCTTGAAGAGCGGAAAAGGCGAGATGGTCGAGTAGCCGCAGAGTACGATCATAAGTTGAGGATCGCTGTAGAGGACCTTATAGGTGACTGTGACGTTCATTTTGACAGTTTTATAATGTAACTGAAATACGCTGGTCTTGGTGAAATTATTCCATGGAAATGAAACCGTTTCCTTGACAGCATGAATTTCCCCATGGATTGTGCTAATGTATTCCAGCCTCAACTTGAGCTTTCCATCTGCAGTTGGCGGCACGGAGACATTCAGGCACTTCATAATGTCCATGTTAGGTATGCGAGCTGCCTCATACCAATAGCCCGACATCTAGGGGGGTGAACTGCTCGATCAGTATGGCATATAGCATTTTATATAACAATGTAAAGCTTTCCACTTACAGCAGATAGATTAAGTGGCTGTTCCCGAGCATCTTGACTGCACGAGAAGCGTCTCAGACTCTTAAGTGTGTGTAGATATTGAGCACAGCTCGTCGAAACGAGCACCAGAAAGAGCACCACAAATCGCTGGACAGCCATGCCAGAGTCATCTGTGCTATACAGCATCCGCCAAACAACTAATTCACATGCTGCCCAACTAAAGCTATTATAATGCGAATGCCACGCTTATCAGACAATTGCTATGTATATAAGAATATAATCTATACCTTTTAGAAACTCTCAGAGAGAGAGAGAAAGAGCGAGATAGAAAGAGAGAGAGAAATGCTAAGAGACTGAATTCATAGAGACACTCATTGAGATAGAGCGAGAGAGAAAGAGTGAAAGACTTAGAGAGTCAGTTGTCGTTCACTAAATGACAACTGACTGAGTCACATGCATAATATGAATACTACAAATTGAATTTTTATAAACATAATAAACATGGGTATCTTATCGTGTGGCAAAAAAAAAAAAAATTGTATTGTCAGTATTAGAATGCAATTAAAGTCTTTCAAGAATATACGAATATTATTTTATCTAAGTTAATACCTTAAAACTTCCTACAACTAATTGATGTAATTTTTGAATGTGTAATATTTAAACAAATTTTATTTGGGGGAGCTCGTAAATAGCTCATAAATAGCTGCATTTGAAACTTATAATACATGGTTCTGATTAAGAAAACAATAAGATTTCAATAAGGAAAAGTTTTTTCTTAATTCAGATAAGCAATACAATATATAATAAGAAGCAATATACATAACAACAGCTAAGCTTTTATAAATTGTATATGTGTATATAAAATTGTTGAACGGCATTTAACATCACTTTGTGCTCTACACAGAATATTATATACAAAGTACATTAGATAAATATTAATACTATTATTATTATTAATAATACACACACACACACTGTGAAATTACGACTAATCACAAACTACAATAATAACAAAGTATTACTTGGAAGCCTTTCCTGGTAATATAACGATAAGCCCACCCTAGTTACCCAAAATTCGAATGATAGCCAGGGCGAATATGGTTAGGATTGCCATTTCTGGACGAACTGCAGCATTGCAGCGATCCGGCGATTGCTCCGTCCAAATAATATCATCGGCATAGCCACTTGCCTGCACCAGATTGTTAATTAAAACCATCTGGTATTTTGGGATCTCGGGCTGGCGTGCGAATACTTTGACGATTGGCAATGACGTTGAGGCCGCATAGCCGCAAAGGATGACGAGGCGTTTGGGATCAGAGAACTGCACTTTATAGGTGAGCGTAAAAGCCGAATCATATTGGAGTTGAAAAACGCCATTCGAAGTATTCTCATCCCAGGGAAACGACAGAGTCTCCTTAACGATCCATGGCTTTTTCGGATTAATCGTCTCGATATACTCCAATTGAAGGTTCAATTCCGTATCCGCAGTCGACGGCACAGAGACATTCAAACACTTCATAATATCCATATTCGGAGCACGAACAATCTCGTACCAATAGCCCGACATCTGTGCAAGGGAAATCAGGTTAGTATCACCTCCCAGAGGAGCATGCCTTCAACACAGCCAACTTACAGCTGTTAGATCAATTGGATCTCGTTTCAGTTCTGTCAGGCAATTCACATTCGCCGGCAGCTCCGGTAAGTTTGGTAGCTGCGATTGCACACATTGCAACCAACTTAGTGTCAAGAGCCACAGGCCAATTATATTCGTTTTCATAGCAAAGTTCTGCACACTTCCGAATTCGACTAACGACTGACTCATGTGACGGCCAATTGATATAACTTGGCTTATCAAATGGCTCTACACATATATTGCTGCAGCCCAGACACCAGATATGTCGAAAAATATAGTTCAGATTAGGTTATCGATCTATTATCTATAGTCTGACTTTTATTGGGTTCTTGTAAAGGTGAATAATGATGTGTTTCTTTTTTACTCGCTCACGAAGTGAAACGAGCTTATTGGTTTCTGCAAAAAAAAAAAAAAAAACTGGATTACTGTTGACCTATTCCATATGCGGATCAACAGTTGTATAAATATCGTCATCTTCAGCTAGGTAGATATTGTAGTTATACTCATATTACTTTTGAATTCGATATATTTCAGTTGCTGGCGAGTATTATGCAGCCAGAAGGAGGCGCCACACCTTCGTTTATTATTGTGAATAGTTAAGATTAGTTAATATATACGATCTTATCATTATATGCATTTAAATTCACATTTTCACGGCTGAATGGAAAACTTTTGTTTCCTGCCAAAAGTCAAGGATTATAAAATTTCATATATTATCAAATTATGTATATATTTAAGAGTGAAAATGCAATAGTAAGTGTTTGAATAATTCTTGAGCTGACAAACGCGCAGTTTGCTCTATCACAGTTGGAATTATCCAACCACATGAAACCCCGTTTCAGTGGAGTTTTCTTCAGTTGCTGATTTACGAAATCCTTCATGTTGGAGTCCAATGTTTCGTTACGCGAAAATATTTTTATCATTGCGAAGGGTGTGATTGGCGAAGAGCCACAAACCAAGGAGACATTTACGTAATCAGTATAGACTATCACATAACGCAAAAATGTTTTCATATCGCGCATCTCATATTCCGTCTGAAATATGCTGTTCTTGGTGAGATTGTCCATGGGAAATGTAACCGTGTCCTCGACTCTTTTAGCCTTTTGACCAATGTGGCTTACGTAAGATAACTTGATATTCAGATCTGGGCTCGCACTCTCCGGACACTCCACCGACAAGCAGCGTACGGCATAGGACTTTGGGAAACGGGCCACCTCATGCCATACGCCCTTAAGCTGTAAATCAATTCGAATCCAATCAATATGTATACCTATATCTATATTGATTTGATATCAACCTACAAGCTTCAATTCGAGCGGCATGCCCTTGGGGTTACTTTGGCAATCCAATATAAATTGATTAAAAGGAGAGTCCCTCAATGAAACGCTATCCAACCAAATCAGCACAGGGAATAGCAGTATAAATATTTTGATCTCCATTCGAAGAAGTTATCACTGCTCTACTTCAATGTCCAAGTACTTTCTGCAGTTAGCGCAATTGATTTTCGAGTATCTGATATATTTTTAATACAGTTAAATTTTGTTTACTATGTTTTTATACCCTGAACCCATTTTCAATGGGAAATCAGGGTATAATGGTTTTGTTGAAATGTATGTAACAGGGAGAAGGAGGCGTGGCAGACCCCACAAAGTATATATATTCTTGATCAGGGTGACGAGCTGAGTTGATTTGGCCCTGTCCGTCTGTCTGTCCGTCTGTCCGTCTGTCCGTCTGTCCGTCTGTCCGTATGTATGAACGCGTCGATTTCAGAAGATATAAGAGATAGAGACTTCAAATTTTTTTAAAATGTTCGTTATTACAGCGCGCATATCAAGTTTATCATTAAAAATCGATAACTCATCCCGATCTTTTTTATCGATAAAAAACCTTATCGAAACCCAGTTATAAAATTATATCTTCTACACCTTTATTGCTAGAGTCTCCAAATTTTTAATGTATGCTTATATGCAATTTATACAATTTCGGTTTTTGTTAAAATTTACCCCCCACCTCTAAATTCACCCCCTCACCCTCACTTTTGTAAAAAGCGTATTTCAAATACTAGAGACTTGTGCTTTGGCAATTACATGCATATTTATGTTATAATCATAATCTAAAAGTTTCATGAAGATCGTACGTCCATAAAAAAAAGTTATTAAACAATTAAGTTCTCATAGTAAGCGCACACTGCAGCCCATGCGTGTTTATGCGTGGTTGCTTGTATGTGTATGTGTGTGTGTGTATGTGTGTGTGTGTATGAGTTTGTGTCTGTATGCGTGTGTGTGTGTGTATGTGTGTCTGTTTGCGTGTGTGTGTATGTATACCTGTGTGTGCGTACGTGCGTGTGTGTGTGTGTGTGTGTGCGTGTTTCTTGTGTAAGCTGAAAGTCGCGAAAAAGTATTGAAATATCTATTGCTCCAAGGGTTCAGGGGATCTCGTAGTCGAGCAGTCTCGACTAGAGCTTTCTTACTTGTTATTTCTCAATTCAAGTCCTTCGAACTCGCCTTTAGTAGCAACTCTTCGGAATCTGGCTAAACTCGCTGTTTCATTTACTATTTTTAATACCTTAACAGCTTTAACTTTAGTCTTACCCTAAACCAAAAGAATTATGCATTTTGTTTGCCGAGCTCGCTGCTTAAATATGCAGCTGCAGCAAAAAGCTGGCAACTTCTACCATAACAGAAAAAAATATATATAAAAAAAAAAGATCGAGCTAAAAAAAAATGATACTGAATAAAGCAGGCAGCGCAAACATGCGAAACTATTAAAAACATGTCTTTGTCCTTTGGCTTTGGCTGCATATAATGAAATTCCTTTGCCCCTTGTCCCTTGCCCTCCCCGGCGAAACTCTAGAGCTCCCCAGTATCAATCTAGGTGAAATATTAACAAGCCAGTCGCAGTCTGAAGTTGCTGGATAGAAGGCCGATGTCGTCCCCGACGACAGCTCATAAAAATTCCTAGCTACAAAGAGCCTGCTCCCGCGTCACATCCCTATCCTCCCTCTTTATCGCTCTCACTCTCTCTCCCTCTCTGTCTCTCTTTGCTGCTCTTCCGTGAAATGGAATGAAAGGAGACTGCGAGCTCTGGTTAAAGCGCGAACAGACGCTGAAACAATAGACTTGAGTTAACTTAAATTGATTTCCAGACGCGACATCGTTTAGGAGAAACCAGCCAGCCACGCCCACCCAGCCCATGCCACAATACGCAGACGTTGCACTTTGTGGGAGAGAGAGAAGCAGAGGGAGGGGAAGTACAAGTAACCTCTGCACCTTGATTGCAAGTTATTTGAAATTTTGCGACAATTTGCTAGAAGAGGGACGAGTGCATATCCTGTAAATAGATCGAATGTCAAAGCATAGATTCTATATGTGATTATGATATAATTGAATTACGAGTAAATAGGATATATACGTTAGAATAGTTAAATTAGTAGACGTCCTGTTTTTATACGATAGGTAATTTTATATTTCTGTTTAAATTCAGCCGCGTTTTACATTATAATATATCCCATATATAGATCGAAAAGATATATACTTCCTTTGCACATATATATGCATATATTAATCAAATTTCAGTTCTTCATTTACCTTACTCTAGCATACTCATACCCTACGCTTACAGGGTATTTCGAATGTCAGCAGCCAGGCAGCACAGGCTCTCCGTCAGCGTCTTTTATAACGTTGCACTTGAAAATCTTAAGATTGCTGCACAAATTTTTGTTGCAATTTGTTGGCGCATTTTTTGGCAACATCTTGGCCCGAACAGCTGGGAAAGGGACAAGCGGCTCCACTATTTTGACTAAACTTGCTTGGAGTTGCAGTTGCTCAATTTGGTTGCTTGATTCTCGCACTTTTATTTCTCTGTTGCTTATTGAAATCGTCGCTTTATTTATGTCACTCAATGAGCGCCCTGCCGGAGATGAGACAGTCTGAAGTGCAAATGGTGATTATTCTAACTTGCTCACATCGAGTCTGACAGTTGGCCAATCAATGTAATTTAATTTATTTGGCTAGCTGTAATTCGCATCTTGCGGTGGCAGTTAAGCCATTAAAAATAAATGAATAAATAATAATACTAAATAAATCCGTAAAAGCTGAATAGTTGTGCCTGTGTCTTTGAAAAGTGGACAAGTGGAATAAATATACATATATTTATGTATATTCGATTAGTGAATGAGCATACAAATGATTTAAAATTCTGCAATATAAAATGTAAAATTAATGATTTTACATATGTATTTCTGTCTAATTAAACGATCTATATAATTGTAAAATTGTCTAAAACCAAATTGTTGCTATGAATATTAAATCATTTTTAAATAATTATGTTAAGAACTGATTTGCCTTACTAAACAATGGCTTAGAATGGCCCATACAAAGGCATACTTTATTCTATTTTACTTAATAGTTAATCTTATTCTTAATCCTACTAGCTACGATTTGTTGGAGACAATATTATTTTGATGTGCCTAAATTTTCCCGAATTCCTCCATGTGCGCACTTTAACGCAGAATATATCAAAGACTATTAATGTGTTACTTAGTTATTGTAAATAATTATTGTTTTTTATTGAAGTCAAGAATCTTATTTAAAAGCGACTGATCAGAGGCAATGCATATCGTAGCTAATTTTAATAAAATTCAGATCTTTGCAGTCAATTTCTTGGTATTAGCAAGCTTTAAAGCCAGCTGAAAATTACAGAAACTTTGCAAGAGCTTAAAGCATTATTTGCATCGTTTGCGCTTTTGCAGTTATTAAAAGCTGCTCGAAATGATCGCTGATTGTTTAACTTTCACCTTGGCGCACAGCAAAGAGCACAATTTATAAAGCGCTCGTCGCCTGCAACAATGGAACTGCAACAATTCGTTGGGGTCGGGCTGAGGGACAAATGGGGCCTGCACTTGAAGTTGTTTCGCACCGGCTGGCCGTGGAACTGAGGGCAAGCGCAAACTTTTTAAGTGAATTTTTGATTAGATCTGGGCAAAGTTTTTGTCGCCAGCGACAACAAACGGCATCGGATGCATTCCGCCAGAGTTGCCAACGTTGCTCAACGCACAGCTAGCCGAGCTAGTTGTGCCCTTTTGTAATTTGCGCAAAAGTCTATTTATTTGCGCAAACGATAATAATAAAATATGCGCTGCAGATAGTACCTAGTAGAGCATAAAGTTGACTGCCACGCGCCCGGACATCGGACAGCTGGGCTGGGGTCCACAATTACGAGGCTCAGACTGAGAGAGGCTCAGACACTGCACCTGTTTCTACCCAAAACTTTTCGCGAACAGTTCCCAGTCTCCTTAGCTCATGCTCTCCCTCCCTCTCTCTCTCACCCTCTCTCTCTCTCTCTATCTCACTCTCCCAATTTAACTTAAAGTTTCTGTGCGAAAGTTAATAAAATTATTTGCCACAGACGTTGATAAATATGACACAAAAGTCCTTCGCAATGGCAAATAAATACCAGTGCAATACAAAATGGCGTCTGCTGCAGCTAACGGTGTAAACAATATGGCGGCAGCGCACTGATACTTCGGCAAATTATTTACTCAAGTTTTATTGCATTCTCCTTCAGCATCTTTGTGTGCGTGTTGGTCGCTAAAAGTCAAGGCAAAGCAGGAAAAATATAAAAGTATATATCGCATTATCTAATCTATTTAAAGGTTCGACAAGCTAACAATCATATTATGGAGAACTCCTTGACTTTATGTAGCTGAGATCAGTGGATTATAAAAATATATATATATATCATTAATTGTTCATATCGATTTCTTAAGAATTGTAGAATAGACCAGAAATAGCTATATGTATATTTATTATTCCTACAATTGCTTGAGTACTTTTGAAAATTGAGTCTAAAATTTTAATTAATCAATAAAATACTGATTAAAATTTCATTTAATATTTAAATAAATGTATGTAAATATTTACTGAAATTATTTCCAGCAACTGTATCTTTAATTTTCTATATGTATGTAGAGACTGCATAAAAATCTCTAAGCATCATTATGAAGACACATTCTCAAACATTTTTCTCCCAAATGTGCTCCGATTCGATGTGCTCAAAACTTATTTCACGCAAATCAAGTCACATTTGAAGAACCATTTTCTATATTCTATACCTCGCGACCCCTGACGTTTTGCGACCCCCACATTTGAGTGCAACTGCTAACCACACTTAAATAAATAAACAGAATTCGCTATTAAAGCAAAGTACAGAGCGAGAGTTGCGAGTGGCACCCCTATACCATCTACAACTGAAGGGTGTTTGCTTAGCTCTTTTCTGTATTTTGTATTTGCTTCTTTTTTTTTTTTTTTTTTACCAGATGCATTCGATGTGTGTAGCTATTATTCATTGTCGTGCTCGCACAAATATCAAATAAAGTTTTTTGCTTCTGGGTGAATTTCTATGTTTCTTCATATAAACATACATACATATACATATATCTGTATTTTCTTGATACTTTTTGCACATATGAGCGGGGCGTGTTTTTTTTTTTTTTTATTGCCAATCCCTTCATGAGATTTCGCTTTATATTTTAATCGAAGCATTTGTTGCGTGAAATTGTCCTTGAGTTTGCAATA